TTTTCAGGGACTTTCTACCCTCAATAATAATGTAATCTTTCATTCTGCGTTTAAATTTTTCAAAAATATTTACTATTTTTCTCCGGATTCGAAAATAATGGATACATTTAAAACACATTGAAAGTTTTGCCAGGCGAAATTTAGCGCCTTTCCCCTTAAATAAATAAACGTATCTTTTACAAATTGCAAGAAACTTTTTATTTTTGAATAAAATAAAGAAGTTTTATTAAAACAAAAATACAATTTACATAAGTACAATTAAAAAAATATATTTATTTAGTTTAAATAAATGTTTCAATCATATACTCTACGACACTGGTCGGTCACCTGTAACCAAAATACCTTTGTAATCGGATTATAAGGTTGATTGCTGTGTTGTATTCCTTCAGGTACAAGGTGGGTTAGTCGAAAACATCTTAAACCGTCAGTTTCAGGTTGGTTTTTACTATTATATCGTATTACATATCCTCTTTGTATTTCAGTTCTCTAATTAGGATTAAACTTGTAGTGAGCTATCGATAAATTGTGAACCGACTATAAATATTATCTACTTTTAACTTCTAAAATTTCCAACAACAGATTTGTATTTCCCTGTCTCATAAAGTCATTAAAGGGATTATACTATCTCTAGGGATAGTATATCCCTAAAAACTAGGAATAATGGACATTTATCATTGTTATTAAAGGAATTTTTATCTATTGTAAAATACCAAGAACATTTATATGCTCTGTGCATATTTATCTAAGTCTAAGTCTTTTAAAACTTTTGTAAAAACCTCAGGAAAAAAGTTTAAGAATAAGAAGACCTTGTTATGGTCAAATCAGAAGTAAATATTATATAAACAGTGGCAAGAAAAAACACTGACAAATTTTAAAGATCAACATGATTATATTTTTAATAACTTATATATCTTTGAATTATTATGAACGTCAGTGATATGCTTAAAGCTCAACCTATTGCTCTCAAAACATACATAGCAGCTGTAGACTCAGTGAAAACTCATGGAACATGCCAAAGGTTTGCAATATTTGTCGAAAATGTGATTATCTAAATTCCAAAAACAAGGAATAAATGATGGTTTACAAATATGTTTTCATAGAAGAAACCTGTTGCTAATTATTTCCCAATTTTTTTTACGAAATTATTCACTCAGTTTAGGTGCAACAATGACTTTTTAACGTGATTGGGTTAAATAAAAGAAACACCTGGAAACTTGAGAAATTTCCCTAATATTGGCAACAGTGGCATCTGGAGAACCACTGCGAGAGTCGAAGTAGATGCTTTCCCATGCGTTTCTGGGCCAAGTACAACAGGTTTCAGCCGGCGGAACGAGGGATGGGGTATAACAGGTTGTTGCTGTTGTTTTCTTTATAATCGGGAACACGATTTTTGTTTTAGGCATAAATACTAGGCTGCAGGGCATTTGTTTTGATATTTAAAACAAAAAACTATGAAACATATTTATAAAGAACCAGATTGGCTTGAATGCTGGAAAGTTTCTACATAATAGTCAAGAAATTGAGGGTTTAAGAAAATCCATATCTACATTTTTACTGGATACCATCTATACCTAGGGTAGTAAGAGGGGATAATCTTGTCAAGAATTTTTTGAGTTCATTCATAATCAAGTGGTTGACTACGAAAGACTCCGATTAACAAATCTTCGTTGAAGCAGGTACCAATTCGATGTGAAAGTAAATTGTAGATTTTGAATAGTAAATAACTTTATTTTATTTGAGCAGAGTCCATAAAAATACATTCTTGTGTACCGGCGGCTAACACAACAAATAAAACAAAGATACGGCCCTCCTAAGTCGTTATCTTTAGAATGTTCTTCCGGTTCTCCCAATTCTCCCGGTTCAAGGCATGCTCCTATTCCAAACCTCTCGATTCCATCGCTCTTCGAATTTCTTCATTCCATGAGCGTCGACGTCTACCTTCTTTTTCCAGGGGGCTTCTATCTGTGAAGTTTTTGGGGCCAACGTTCGTCAGGCATTCTCAATAGGTGACAAAACTATTTTAAACCTCTTCTTTCTATTCTGTCGATCGTTTCTGTAGCATTCATGTTATTTTTTATAGATTGCCATTCCCTGGCAGTAGTTTTTCCTATTTTGGAGGGCTGTCTTAATATATAAATTCAACGGTAAGGGTGACATACTGCATCCTTGTCTTAGTCTTTTAGTTACTTTTATTGGCTCTCATAGTCTATTTACGATTTTTACGTAAGTAGTGTTATCCCTGTATGCTATCATACCCCTTTTCTAAGTCAATGAAGATCTACTTCGATACCAACCGCTATTCTTTTTTCTATTAATTGTTGGAGTATAAACAAGTTATCAGTGCAAGATCTACCAGGCGTAAATCCACTTTGGTCTTCGCTAATTAGATGTCCTACACCATTTTGTATTTTTCCAGTTATTATCTTTCCAAACAATCTCCCGAAAGTAGTTAGTACACTTAATCCTCTGTAACAGTTAGGATCTTTTCGATCCCCCTTTTTAAAGATGGACACTTGGTGAGCGGTTTTCCATTCAGATGGTACTTTAATTTGTTGGCAACATTGATTCATTAGAAAAGTTATCGTTCTTTAAGGAGTGGACCTCCTGCTTTAAGTAACTCTACAGCTACATTGTTAGGTCCTGGAGATCGCCCGTTTTTCATTTTAATTACCCCTTGCATTTAGATAACTTTCTACACAAGTTTCTAAAACCTTCATACAATCGTAACAATGAAACGATTAGTATTTTCCAAATTATCGGTTTGACTCATTCGAAAATTCCGAAAGTTGAGATAAATACCCTTCTCAGGTAGTTTTCACCAATGAATTGAAAGTCGAAGGTATTTGAAATGTAAACATATCCTACGTAAACATATCCGACATATAAATACGTTGAGGTGTTGAGGGGGGACGTTTCTGAATGTTAACAAAATTACAAGCCGAGAGATTGAAGGAAGTTGAAATCATCAAATCAGCAGAGAACTAACGACGTAGTTCTCTGAAATCAGTATCAGTTCAAATTCCAGCATTGAAAGAGCGCTAGGCTCTACTCGCCCCAGCGGCACTTCAGAAGGTTTAAAACAGTCGATATATTAATAAGTTTACTCAGTTCGTGTCAATATTGTATCACCGACAAGTTATATAGTTTTGTAGTTTCATAAAGTTTAGTTTCATAAATCAGCTATCGTATCCAAGTTATCGGCGCCAAAATACGTTGTAATTGTTTAAACAGACTTGTTAAAACGTTCTTTTCGAATCTTTCGTTTGTCCCAGTTTTCTGGTGGTCCTTTAAAGACGTATATAAAGTGAACCTATTTCCCTAAGGAAAAACCTTATTCCCCAAGGAAAAAACCAGCACCTATGACTGGTGCGTGAAACAAAGCCATCAGGACAAGGTGTAAGAACAAACACACCTGCATCTTCGCTCAATAATTTCTTGATGACTAAGATGATAAAATCATCTTCCATGGGTTCCTGAGTGTGTATAATTTTATAGGGATCCATTTTGTTTTCTTGTAATATTCGAATAACCGATGAATAGCTAATATCGAGTACTGGGGCTGCTTTTTGAACAGATGTATGTAGGTGTTTCTCATACTCAAACTCAAGTATAACAGCCAATTTGGTACCCTCAGTTATTGCATTGGCAGTTTTTTTACCTTTCTAACATGGCCCAGCTCGTGGAATTGCTTCTCTATTTGATTAATTGTCCCTTAAGATATGTGCGGCAAATCAAGAAATGCTTCGTGAAATAAACGAGCTACTTCCATTTGCGTCCGTGTCTTATCTCCATAGCCAATCATCTGTATAATTGTAATTTTGTGTGTTTCTGTTAAATGAACCATTTTTCTGGCTTCCGGTTAATGAAATTCAAACGACTATGGCACTGACAACTACTTCTGTCATGGAACAGTAAAACATTGGAGTTTTATTTAATTAAACCAAAGTAAAGGTCGATTCAAACACATCAGTCACGTCTCGTCACAGTCCCGGCGCCGAACCGAACAATCCGTCATACAAAATATTCTTTAATAGAAATATGCCGCCGGCATTGACATTCATCAGTTGACGAACAGTTTCCCAGCTGTCAGATATAGTTCTGTGACCAAACAGGACCGGTTCGGCGCCGAGACTGTGACGGGACTGATGTGTTTGAATCGACCTCAAACATTTTTTTGGTTATTTTAACATATCAATAAAAAGAAATGCTTAAATAGTTTTTACTTATTTTATCATTACGTGGTGGCGACTTTCGACAAATAAATAATTTTTCTAAATGTGAATTTTTGCATTTTACTTAATATTTCCGAAACTGTAGTTAAGGTTTCCAGAACTGTAATTTAGATTTTTAGAAATTAATAATTTGGTACATTTGAAATAATTGATTCTATTCTTCAACTAAAAGTACGAATAAAATAGTGCATAATATTATGTCTGTAGTTGCCGTAAATAAATTAAACCGAGTTAATTTGTTAATTTGAGTGTATGCACACCAGATAAAATGTCTCTGAACAGCACTGGTTCCGTTTAAAATATGGCTTTTTCCATCTGCGCGTTCTTATTTTTTTTTAAGCAGAGTGGGCATTCTGATTGTTTATTATTCTGTGGATAGGTAGGTATAGGACATTGTATTTAAAAAATGTCTAGAATTATCTGAAGAACCTAAAAATTAATTAATATACAGACAACATACATACAAACAAGACATACAAACTACCAAAAATTTATATGTATACATTTTGTATTTCCTAGGTTTTTGCGTGTCAGTTTCAGAGTGTATAACTGGTTGTCTAACATATTGATGTATGTTTTGCATTATTTAATTTTTTTTCTTTCAGTTTAACAAAATTAATTTTTAATCAATATGTGAAGATGTATTAAAATGTCTTAAAGTTAATACAAAAGTTATGATCTTCTATCTGTACTTACGTTAAATGTATTTTTGATAACTTCACTGTAATGTTAAAAATAGTACAGGCCGTCGAACGTCAAACGTCATATTACCTAACCTAACATGTCAAAATCGTCAACCTAAATTTTATCAAAATAAACTTCATCTTCAAAACAATCCATTGTCGTTATATCCTTTCTTTTATTATTGTAGTGCTGCTATTCATTTTATTTTGTTAACAGCAAAACATGGTCTGCGATAAATGCCAAGCAAAATGTGGAAAAGTAATCACTCCCGATCCTTGGAAAACTGGAGCTAGAAACACCACAGAATCTGGAGGGCGACGAGTAAATGAAAATAAAGCTTTGACTTCAGCAAAAAATCGATTCAATCCGTATACGACGAAATTTGAAACTTGCAGGTAAATTCCTACTATAAACCAAAAAGTATTTACAATACACCCTGACATGGAATCACAGTTTTACTTAATATTTCTAAAAAATCTCTATTGCATATATCTTGTGATTATTATCACCATGAGAATAAATGTAGAGTTCTATTGATTTTATGTATTTCGACTATTACATTCATGTATTTGTTTTTTTTTCTAGGATATGTAGGCAAAAAGTTCACCAAGTTGGATCACATTACTGTCAGGCATGTGCCTACAAAAAAGGAATATGTGCCATGTGTGGAAAGAAAATAATTAGTACCAAGAATTATAGGCAATCCTCTGTGTGAAAATACTTTACGTGAATGGGAGAGTCAGAGTTAGATGTAATAAAGGGTCATATGAGTTTCATCTTCGTTATTTTTGAGTGAATAGTTTAAAAAATTAAATAGATGCTTAAAAATGACAGGTGAAAGTGCAAGATATGTTTTACTGTATTATAAATAGTTTTTCATTTTGTTTTTAAATAAAAATGGTAGGGAGAAACATTAGAATTAGGAATAAAGAACTTTTGTATTTTGTTTTTATTATATATGGTATATTTATTAAATTATAGTTTGTGTAAACTATGGATATTGAGGAACTTCTTTCACTATGTTTATTTCTATGAATAAATTGTGTGTTTGTATATTTTTAAGCATATCTTTTTGTAATCAGTAAATGTAAATAAAAATATTCTTATTTACCTTGTTTTCTGCATAGCAAAATGCGTAACCTACTTTTCTATGTCTGCAAATTTCCTATCTTTTTCTAAAAAGTTTTGTATATAGGATTTGCTAACATTCTTTTCACTTATATTAAACATATCGGAATAATTTTAGAGCCTGTCATGGGTCCGGGCTTGCTTAAGAACTTTCTTCCATTCTTCTGTAATTATGTACGAGTGGCTCTTAATCTGTGTAGGTAATTTACTGTTTATTTTTCTTATCTTTGTGAATAAGTAAGATTGAAACATTCACCTGAGTTTTCTTACATTACTTTAACTATTGCCAGTTCTGTTCCTATTCAGTGTTTTAGAATTGTACTAAATTTTTACTAAAAGTAACTCATTGGGGTATAAAAATAACCTCCTTTAAAACACAAAATGATTGTTATTACATTAAAAGAGTACTTACTACAGCTAAAAACTAAACCTAGACAGGATAAAACAACTTTTGCAGACTAGAAATTTGTTTCAAAAACAACTTTTTTTTTATTCACAGGAACATTAAATTTAATATTAGGGCTGAGTGAGAATTTCTTCTATTGTCCAGTCGCTGAAGTTTAAAACAAGTTAACATAGCATTATAGGAAATCATGTATGGATAGATATCAAAGATTCTGACATAAAGAAGCCTCAAGAATCGTTTTTGAACCTTTTCAATCGGATCAACATTAAATCGGCTTGTGGTGCCCATATAATAGAGGCATACTCCAAATGAGGTCTTACTAGTGCATTGTATAATTATATTGAAGTTTCAAATCTTTTAAAAAGCTTGAATTATGAAGCCAAGAGTTCTGTATATCTTTCCAATAATGATCCGCTAATGTTCATTAAATCTCAAATTTTGCTGAAACATTACTCCAAGATCTTTGTAAGTGTTCTTTCTTTCAAGTACAGTGCTAGAAATTTTGTATTGGTTCTCTATGTATTGTTTTTTCGAGAGGTAAAAACATGACATTTAGAAGTGTTTAGAAATATTTTGTTATCATCAAACCAATGACTTACTGAGTTCAGATCACATTGCAGCATCTCAAAATCCTGTAGAGTTAAAATTTCTCGAAAAATCTTAAAATCATCTGCAAATAGCAGGCTTGTCAAAAACTTCACACAGTGAGGCAAATCATTAATAAATATAGCGAACCGAAGAGGGCCCAAGTTGCTACCTTGTGGTATACCTGATATCGACATAAATGGCTTAGATCAACTGTTCGTTACTTTAACTTCATTTAATATATCAGAAAGATATGACCTCATAAACATACACGCTTCTGAATCAAAATCAAATTTGCTCAGCTTTTCAATAAGTATAGAGTGATCAATATTATCAAAAGCTTTGGTGAAGTCAGTAAAAATGACATCCAGGTGAGTTCTATTATTTATGGCCCCTGCTGCAAAACTTTGTTCGTAAAAACGCACAAGTTTGACACAGTGGACTTCCCTGGTAAAAAAACCATGTTGTTCTGGACAGAATCTATCTCCAAAGTAATTCAAAATATTGTTATACATTCTCGAATATCTTAGCAATTGAATTAATGGTAGATATAGGCCTATAGTTCTCAACGCTACCAGCATTACCAGATTTAAATATAGGTGTTATAACTTCATGCTGTAAGCTTTCTGGAATTAACTTTGTTTAAGGGACAAATTAAAAATTAATGTGAAAGGGACAGAAAGTCTCTGCACAACCTTTAAAAATGTATGCTGGTATATTGTCATTACCTGTGGCTTTTTTTGGTTTTAGTCTTTTAATGCTTTGGAAAACATTATTAACTGTTATTTTTGAAAAGTAAAAACCTCCCTCTACTATTGAGACTATTTTGATCTTTCAAAAACATTGGCAATATCCTCACAGTCACTTGTATCCACACATACACACACACAATAATAATTTGGTTAATGTCATAAATTTCTTCAAGTAAATAGTTCGCTGTTCTTCTTACTTTTTCCTATTTCTTTTTATTTTAGTGTAAATAATACATTTAGCACAGTTACTTTTCAGTACTTTAATTGTTAGTTTACCTCTCCAGTATGGTTGAGAAGATATTTGACTATATACTGTCAAAGCTTTCTTTTCATTGACGATGTTCGATTGAATTAAAACACATATTATAGATAAAAATTTATTTGCTGCCTTATAAGGTAAGTATATTACAATATCCACCTTTAAAATTTGTAGAACTTTCAACAATAACTTTATAAAAAATATAAATCTACTAAATATATGTACAAAAATATCTTCAACAATAAGTATAAAATGCTTTACGTTTCATCACTAAACTTTTCACATAGATATTCATATTATGTATGTAAAAAATAGGTAATCTTAGTTGAGCATTACTTTATCCTTAAAAAAATAAAATATTATTGGAATGGACACAGTCGTACGAATTGTATTAGCAGTAAAAACCCTTAAAATGATCATTTATACAATGTCTATTTAAAACAATTATAAATTTTATAAGTTTTAGGGACATTTCTTGCAATTTAGCAAATATTTTTAAACGAACAGAAATTCCACTGTAAATAAATAGCTCACAGTAAAATATGTTACAAGAATTGTATACAATGTACTGGATGTCTACGAAAATATTGTGATTTTTATTTAATGACTCCTTTATTTTCATAATCTTATTGGGACCATTGTTTGTATCATGAAATATAGTTTAAATAGATCTTTTGACAAAAATTGATCAAGATACTTCAAATATCTTTAAAACTTCCACTATACTATCCAGATCTAAACATTATAGAAAATTTTTGGGAACAAATAAAACAGAATTGCAAAATAAAATGTTGGTTTCAAGTTTGAAACTGTAAAATGTAGATTGAAAACGTGACTTTGGAAAACTGTAAGAAATTAGGGATGACAGGAACCTATCAATACCGAATAAAATTAATTACAAAAAGATCATCGCCTAGAAAAAGTTTCTGAAACATTTAATTGTATTAGTGGTCAATTATTTTCTATATTTCTTTACCATTTACGGTAGGTATTTATCTATTTTTCTCAGAGAATAATATGACTGTCGTCATGGTTTATATTCTATTATCTGCGCCATTTCCAAAATTATTCACAACTAAACATAAAATTTACGAACCCATAAATAATTTTGGATTGTTTGTTTGTTAGTAAAGTAGTTATTGATATATTAGTTTGTATTTTAGTAAAATCGTACCAATATAGATTCTATATTAGCAATTTCTCTCCATTTTTGGACCTGTAAAATATACAAAACAATTTTTTCTTTGTACTGCTTAGTTTCTCCTTGAAACTTATTCCAAATTTTTTATTCTGTTACAGTTACAACTAGTTTTCCAGTTAGAATTAAGAATTCCTACAACTGTTTCCAATCCATATTGCCTACTCAGTCCAATAACACTAACTTTCTAGCGAAGGTCACTTCTTTTCTTCTTTACTCTGAGTAACTGTAACGTTTGTTACATTGGACGGATTAAAAACCCACTGTTTAAAGCTACTTTCCACACTTCCGTTCCCATTGGTCGATACTTGCACCACATTTTCATCGGTAATTTCAATTTTCCTCGGAGTTCTTGTACCTCCCAAAGTTGGAAGACCAGATGGTATCTTGGAACTTGTTCTTATCGAAGTTACTGTGATGTTCTTGTTCGGGGGCTTTATTTTAGTCGTATAAGGAGTTGAGGTCATGGAGGACGACATGAGTTCCAAGATAGCCTTGTCGTTCTCGTTTTCCAGATTTCTGGAGTCCCTTCTTTCGGGCGAAGTCGGAGGAGTTTTGGCGGTAGCTATTGGAATACGTGACTTCGTCGCCGATTCAGGCTTTGGGGGTTTAGCTGGAGACTTCTCGAAATTGGACTTAAGTAACTCAATCTGCGAATGCCGCTTCTCGGGAATTTTTGAACTCTCATAACTAGATGTCGTAAACTTCATCTCCGGTAGCTTTTTCAGCTGCTGCTCTGCAATTTTCTGGATTTTATGCAGCTCTTTTTCGTCAACTTTTTCGTTAGTTTTCACCTCTTGTGGCTCTTCTTTGATAAAGTCATCTAAACTCTTATCAAATTGATGGATGTTGTTTTCGAAATGCTCTAATTTGGCTTCGAAGCTTTTTACATAGTTCTCGAATTCCGTATCCAGATTTCTGTCGTCTTGTGGAGGTGCAGACGCAGGAATTTGTGGTTGTGATTCCTCAGATTTTATCTCTATTTCAGATACGTTCGTTTGTTTATAATTATTTGGTGTTACTTTTATTTCTGTGATGTATGTATGTGATGAATTTCCTTTCTTGCTGTCGTCACTAGCGTCCAATTGATTCGTATAAGTAACTTCGTTGTTTAAAGTGTTAATAGCTTCAGTTAGGGTAGCGTTCTTGATCAAATCGGGGGTGTTTAACACTACTTTACTATCGTTAAAATCTCTATTCTCTAAAGCTGTAGTATACATGTCTTGAGATTCGTTTATACTAAACTCCAAACTGTGTAATTCAGAGTCTCCGTTCGATGAGTTGGTAACACTGATATTGCTGACGTGTTTAACCGAATTCTTAGATTTGGCATCGTCACTTTTTGGGTTCTGTCTCTCAAGGCTTTCATACGAATGCCTAGAGACTTTAATATCGTCAGAAACGTTAATGTCGTACGATTTCGGTGAGTAAATATCCTCAGGTTCATTATTTAATTGCTCCGTGTACAAAAAGTTTTGTGTCATCTCCTTAATGTTTGACTCAACAGGCAAAGCACTTAGACTAACCACAGTCTTGGTCTCATCTGTGATGTTTGCGCTCAAAACTGACTGTTTCATGGCTTCTTCCTTCTGGCTCTTCACCATGGAGTTGAGCAGCGGAATTTTGGAGAGCACTTCCTCTGGTTTAGGCACCGGCGAGTACTGTAGAGGTACAACATCCCCAGTCTCCAACGAATGAGGCGGGGAGGTATTGGTGATGTTTTCTGGGAACGCTATATCCCATTCGTCCAGTATCTCCGGTACTGGATCCGGCGGTACTGGTACCGCTGAACTATCGGGCAATCTTTGTCGTTTATTTCGTTCTGGAATGACGATCTCTACATAAGGAGCAGGTGGAGGACTTAGGTCTACATCAAGTTGTTGTATGTCAAAAGGTTCGTAAATTTTGTTGTTAATATTCGTGTTCTTTTGTACTATTAGTAAAACAGGCTCCTCGGGTACATCAATATGTTCTATCTTTACAACTGGACCATCATCTATAACTGTTTCTATCATATCGTCAATATCAACAACTGAATCACCAGATTTGTTGATATCGGGCCAAATTTCATTTTTTATCTTCTTAGGACTATTAGGGTCAGTCAATACATCTTCCGACTCCCTTTTGATCTCGTTTATTTTGTTAACCACTGCATGGTACTCGCTGTTATCTGCTTCCAGTGAGCTATGGCCATCCTTTTCGTCTTCTTGATTAAGTTTTAAAATCGCATCTTCTAGATTGCCCCATTCTGTCGATTTTTTGAGCCTGTTTCTTTGGAAAGTATTCAAACCATCCAGAATCAACGACAATCGAGGTTCTTTGTTTAGTACTTCGCTTCTGAAAAGATCTTCGTCTGATTTCAGATAATCTTCATCGTTTCTGACAACTTTACGTTTCCTGGAAGGAATTGTAGTGTCTGAAATGTCGAGGCTCTGAGCTCGTTCCAGTGTGCCAGTGTTGGACTTGCTTTCTTTAATTTTGGTTAAGTCCCCAGTACTAACAGTTTTTCTATTTTGCCGCTCTTCTTCTTCGGTTTGATGAATAGTAATGTCACTAGAATTGAGTTCGATGGTATTCACAGAGGAGTTGTTATCCGTTTCTCCATCGGAATCGGAATGGTAGCACTTTGAATCTTTATTAGAAGTAGAAGTTAATTCTACTGTGTCCCCTAACGAAATATCTTTAACAGATTCTTCTTTAGCTGGTTGTATTTCGTCATAGTTTGTTGATTTCACGTCTTCTGGTATCAATGGCGCTTTTCCTTTCTTTTTGGCAAATTTCTGGTCGTCTCCACTCACTAATTCTCTATTTACCGACTTCCTGTTGTTCATTACTGCTGTAGCTGCATTTAACATCTGTTCCGGCAATTCAAGCGGAATCCCTTGTGGGTCCCTTTTAATGCCAGAGCTATTTAAGCTATTTCTGTCAAAATTCTCAGTTTTCTCTACTTTCTTTTCGCGCTTTTTAACAGGAGGGGGTAGCTTGGAGTCATCCACTTCATCTATACTGATCGGCTTAGTTTCAAAATGCTTCTCTATGTTAATATTATTGTCGTTTTGTTCAGAACTCTTTGGACTTGTCTGCCGCTCAGACGGCAACACTCTTATCCCAAATTTAGGAAACTTGTTTTCCGTCTTCTGAGTTTCCATCTCCAACGGCTCCTGGTCTTTTCCTTTGACGTGATTGTCGATTCTTTGTTCCAGTTGAACTTTAAGATGTTCGGGGTTTAAGTTGTTGACGATTTTCTTGGGGGTTGCGTTGATTCTCGGCGAACTTGATTCCTTTCTTTCCAACGTCGTCATGTTGCTAATGGATTTTTTCAAGCTGGAATAGTTCGAGTCCAGGGATCCACTGTCGTTCTTCTTCTTTGGTGTTTTATCAACCTGAAAAAAAAAACAGAAATTAAACTAGTGGTTCATTGCATAAAAACCTAAAAGTTGAATGGATATACTAAAGTCTAAACAACGAGTCCAAATTTTAGAAATTTATTTCGAAAATCATGGTTATATTCGAATACGTATTTTGTTCTGTACGTATCGCGCATTAGATTCATTTTATGATCTATGTAAGCGTCCATAGGAGTACTTAATTCGATTAACAATGAAACATGTTTGCAACACGTTTACTCTAAATGAAAACAGTATCCACAGAGACATCGTAAAGTGCGTACCAAAGAAGTTGTTGTTCAACCGGTTCTATCAGAACGAGTACAAAAATTAGAGCTTGGCCATCCATTTTATGAAAACCATTGCGAAAAAATCTTAGTTTGCTTGCTTACAAAACGCACCTATTGCAAAAATTAACACAGCCTGATCACTCGACAAGGCGTAGATTGGAGTAAAGATCATTTTTAAGTTAACTAAAACACCGTTACATTAAGAAAAACTGACTTATTTGGTGTGCTTTATGGGATGGTGGAATCATTGGTCCGTGCTTTTTTAAAACATATGCAGACGAGAACGTTGCAGTTACTGGTGATGACTATAAGCCGCAACCTCGATGAGAAGCAGTTGTGATTTCAATAAGATGCCCCCAACTGTCACACAGCTTGCGTGACAATCGATTTGGTCACTGCACAATTTCAATATTTCATTTGGCTTCCAAGATCATGCGATCTAACACAGCTAGACTCTTTTTTGTGTGGGGATATGTAAAGTCGCAAGTCTACGCCTATGAGTCAAAAATAAGTGAAAACTTACAGAATAATATTCGTTGCATTATTACCGATATGCACTACAATTTGCAAATGCAAAAAGTTATCCAAAATTGAACTCTCATCATATGAAAGCTTTTCTTCCTTACATCAAAGGTATTCTTCTTCTTAGTCGTTAACCTGATGCAGGTATCGTGATATCATGAAGCTATTAGCTAAATTTCCCAATGTTCCTCCACGTTTTTCTATCTTCTGCCATTCTAGCACATTCTGACAATGGAGTGTCAATGGTAGCAACAATATGGTCCGTGTATCGTGTGGGAGATCTACCTCTATTTCTTTTGCCTTCTACTTATCCCTAGATGGTAAGTTTTTCAAGACGATTTCTTCGAAGCACATGTCCAAAATAGCTTATTTTTTGTTCTGATATCTGTGTTCTTAGTCTTTTCTTTATGTTTAGCTGGTCCAGTATGGATTTATTTGTTCTTCGGGCCACCCATGGTATTCTCAGCATTCGTCTCCAGCAGTACATCTCAAATACATCTATATTATTTTTGTCTTTCTCAGTAAGGGTCCAGCATTCCGATGCATAAGTAAAAACTGGAAAAACTAGACTTCTTACTAGTCTCATTTTTGTATCGGTAGTTATTTCATGGCTTTTCCAAATTTTTGTTAATTTTGCCATAGCGCTTTTTGCGATTGCTGACCGCCGCTTTATTTCTTCATTACAGCCTCCTTTGTTGGTTATTAATGAGCCCACATACACAAATTTATCGACAACGGCGATATTGTTTATCGTGACCAAATGATTTTGATTGTTGTTAGCTCTGTCAATTATCATGATTCGTGTTTTATCCCTGTTTATTTTAAGGCCCATCGTTAAGGTTACGTCTTCTATCCGTTGTAGCAGGTGAATCAATTCAGCTTCAGAACTAGCGAGGATAGTAGTATCATCTGCATATCTCAAGTTGCAAATATTCTTCCCGCCAATGGTGATGCGACCGTTCCAGTCCTCAGTAGCTTTTCGCATTATCCATTCACCATGGATGTTAAATAGAATTGGGCTTAGTATGCAGCCTTGTCTCATGCCCTTTGTGACCCTGAAACTATCGGTTAGTTCCCCATTTATTCTAACTCTGGCATAATTGTTATTGTACAGGCTTTTAATTAGCAGTATCAGATGATTGGGGACTCCCTGCCACATTTTACTCCAGTTGACCAAATCGAAAGCTTTACTATAATCTATGAGATGACATCAAAGGTATCACTGACAAAATCGACAAAATTCTTAAATCAAGAGGAAACTATATAGAAATAAACTATTTAATAGATTTATTTTATCTTTGCCTGTAGTCGATTATGGACGTAGATGTTTTCGATGGTTTATACGAGTATAATATTGATTGGTATGTTCCTTTTATACATTAGGTATAAGACGTCTTCGACTTGGATGCGATGGAAAGCCTTTGTTAGGTCTATAAAACATAGATATGCTGGTTTATTGTACTCGATGGCCTTTTCTATGATTTGTCTTAGTACAAATATGGCGTCTAAGCAGGATCTTCCCGATTTGAATCCTTGTCGTTCATCTGATACAGTTGTTAATTTGTCATCTCAAGAGTTATACTTTCTCCTCTGAGTTTAGAAGCTCGTTGGTTATTCCGTCTGGTCCTGGTGACTTCCGTACTTCCTCAAAACTGATTTCTATTTCGTGTCTTATTTCAGGTATGTTATTGTGTTGATTATTATTTTCCTTTGCATTCTTTTTGTTTCACTCCATATCCTTCTATAGGTGTCTCGGGATTCTGAACTATTTGATGTTTTGTACTTCGTGTAGGTCTCTCGTTTCTCTTTACATTTCTCTTTTATTTCTTTTCTGAACCATGGTGTAGTGTTGTTGTTTCTTTTGTTCAGTATGACTTTACGTTTTCCTATAGCTTTTGTTGCTGCTTCTTTAATGTTGTTTGTAATTGTCTCCCATTTGTTTCAGCTGTATCTTCTGTGCTAGCCTTCTTTGGTACATTTCTCTTGTAGAGTCGTTCCACAGTGATTCTACATTGAATTTTTCCTCGGCGGTTTCCTGTAGAAAATGTTTTGGTGTTATTTTCATTCTTATTTTTGCTAGTACTAGTTTGTGTTAACTTCCTACGTCTGCTGAGTTTAAAGTTCGGATATTTAGATTTTGCTTTGGGTGGATTTTTTTATTAGTGACTAAAAATCAATCATAGATTTGTGCCCCCTGGAGTTTTCAAATGTATATCTATACTGGAGCTTACGGTCGAAAAATGTATTATTGATTCTCAGTTCTTTAAAAGCACAGATATAGCCATCAGTTCGTTGACAATTTGCATTGATATGATTTTCATTAAATCTTTGTTTTACTCCTGGAGCTATTTCATTTCCAAGTCGTGCAATAAAGTCACCCATAAGAATTAAGGGTTCTTCATGAGGTATTTCATTCAGGAAAGTTTGCAATTATTGTTAGTAGAATGCCTCTTGTTCCTCCCTACTGCCTAACAAAACTTTAATTTCTTGTTCGATCAATCAAAGACAACATTCCAAATTAACAACATGAATTATATGAAATTCCTTGTGCAGACTACCCTCGATCTTATATAGGACAAACAAATCGTAGAATCCAGAATAGGATTTATGAACATTCCATTTCTGTTCGCAATTTCGATTCAATTTCAGCTCTAGGTCAACACCATCTTCATACAGGTCAAAAAATTGATTTTAAAAACTCTAGAACCATAGCCCCCCCTTCTATAAACCAAGAATACGATATGGAGACCTCTCATAAAGAAAATATCGTCTGCTCCACCTGCCAATTAAAATCCTATCCCGCCGCGCCAATCTCTGTACCAATCCCAGGCCAATCTTCTCCCAAATCACTTCACCATTGTCGGTATAAATTAAACGTTTGCTGTTCTCAGTAGCAGTAATGCATTGGTTATTAATATGTTTAGTAGTGTCTGGGGGCTCAGTAGACTGGGATCTCGACTGGTTACCAAAAGTGGATTAGATTGTATGAGTTAGACTGTATGAGAGTTAGTTACTAGAGTCTCCTTGCTGATGAATGGATCTGGTTTAGCTGGTAGGCTTTCGGCGTAGACTCGGTGAAGAGAAGATATTTTAAAGTACCTCGGGAACTATCACCGGGAGTACGAAGAACAAATCCTATACTAAGGTTAGGGATCGTTCTGGACTGAGATGTCTTTTGAAGATTCCAGATTCCACCCTTTATAAAGACGAAAAAAAAAACTGGGACCTAGAAAGCCCTTATGAAGACATCAGAGATGGTGTCGAAGGCTCGGCGCAGTGACAATCGAGACGCGGATAATAAACAAATAATTTTGGAATAAATTAGCATACCTGCTAACAAAATTATATATATATATATATATATATATATATTATATATATATATATATATATATATTATATATATATATATATTTATTTATATGAAACAAAAAACTTACGTTATATAAATCCAAATGGGAAGAACTCTTGTACATTGGATGGCCAGGCTGGCCTCCTTGACCGGGTACATTGTGGATCAGTTTACCACCTTTGGCTTCGATGACTACTTCGTAAGGACTAGCGTAACTGAGGATCGCCAATGCGTCTTCGTACACCATGTGTTCAAAGTTGATGGTCACACTATTTATGCGGTCACCTAAAAAAGCACAATATTTTAAACACAAAAATTAAGAAATTTATTACAAAAAACTGTGTATACAAAATCTGTAAGAGCTAAAATTTTGAAAAATCCGAAATTGACTACTTGAAGTAGAGAAATCAACAAAACAGCTGTGGCTGAGGTCACTCTTACATCAAGAGTTAAGAATGAATATTCGAAAGTCAGTCGTCAGAGACTTGATGTCTAAAAAGGAGACGAACTAGCTGAATTTTGCTGAGAGTCTTAATGTTAGAACCACAAAAAAGATGGAAAAATTTTAGGTAGGTCAGTCGTACCCCGGGCTTCTCTCTAAAACCCCCACCAAGGGGGTCCTAAAACATCGATTTACCAAGGATCTGTACGTTGTAGAAAAAAATATTTTATATAAGATTGTTCCCATGCACCAACAGCCCGTTGGCTGCCCGTACCCAAAGCGAGTGAGGATTCTGAGGGGAAATGAATATGGCTGCCTTCGGTCTCCACCCACTTGTGTCCGCCAAACATATCCTCAACGTTTTTTTAAGTGACTTTTGACAACGGAAAAATTCACTTTAGTGTTGAAGTTGAAAGTTGAAAGCCGCTTTTGGGATAAGGAAGGCGATTTGGGATATATATTCTGAGGAATACACTGATCAAGTATGGCCTTTTTCACGTCCATTTTGCTTTATATTTATATTCGCTTTATTAATAGACACAACTGGCCATCGATTGGCTGCTGTAACTCTCTGCTCATATATGTCTGCTGCCGCAGCCCTTATTCCCCTTATTCCCCTTAGCACCCCAGCAGTTTTATTATCTCTGCTGATTTGACCTATTTGTCCAAGGTAAATGTAGGTATTAACAACTTTAAAGTATGGCTCAGAACTAAACTTGTTATCATTTTTATGAACTGCATTTCTGAGTTCATTTAACATATCACTGGTCATTTTTAGGGCATCTGAAATAAGGACAATGTCATCTGCAAATCGTAGACGCCTAAACATCTCGCCATGGATACTTATTCCTTTATTTTCTCCTTCCAGTGACTTTAAAACATCTTTAGACAGGCCTTGGATGAATCAGGAGATAATATTGCTGTAAATGACCTTATAAACAATATTAGATATGCAGACGATACAGTGTTCCTGGCAGATAGTGAGCACGGGCTCCAAAGGATGATGTCTCACATTGTAGAAACAGGTAACAAATACGGCCTAAAACTAAATTGCAAGAAGACAAAAATAATGATTATTAGTAAGAATATAAATGCCCAAATTACAATAGGCGATACACCATTAGAAAGAGTAGAAAAACTATGCTATTTGGGCTGCAATATTAGGAATAGTAGTACAGACTTATGAGTTGTAGCGTGAAGTCTACAAACGTTAGAACTAGGGACTATAGATTTTTCAATCAAGATATTCATTCACTGTAGGTGGTCATTTATACCATAATTGGAGCAAAAACCAGCCTGTTTTCTTGTCTGATACAGTTTGTTTCCAATCGATTTGGCCTGCCGTTCTCCGCACTCTCTATAAATTTAGTAGGAAAAACGTGGTTTGTAGTACATGTTGATTAGTAAGTGACTAAAGTAACAATAAATAAAACAAAAGGAATGGTGTAAAAAATTCAGAATTCATGTTGTGATCCTTTTTATACAGAAGAAGTGTAATGGAATTATTTCGACTTATAGGTATTTTTTGACTAACAAGTAGCGATTCAATAGGTCTTGTATTTAAAATATCCAATAAACAATAAAATCATGAAGATTTAGTGCCCTACAGGAATAAAAATAGTTAAGTAGAAAGAAGAGTAATAAATGAATAGAATGTTACTACAACTTTGGTATTAAACATAACCGGTATTGCAGTCTGAATTTACAGCAGTAAAATAACGTTATTTGGTCATCTTTTTTATTATCAGAACTCTAGATCGATATATTAACCTCGGTATTGTTGCAAATATTCTCTCGTTTCGTTATTTATGGACGAGCTTATATGTTACGTGTTGTTTGACGACAGAATCCTTACACAACCTGAAATAACCTTAATCCTATTTGGATTTTATTTTTAATACTCTGCAATCCATAAGTTGCAGCATTTATTTTATTATACATTACAGATATGTCCTTAATTCCTTAAAGGTTTTCGTCAATTTGATCACTATACAAAATAAAAAAAGGAAGGGAATCAAATAGCTAAACATTTTTTTAGAAATATGAGAGAAATATCGTGATTGGAGAATAAAAATCAGTGGCGTGCGGTGACATTTGGGAAAAATTGTACAAATAAAAATGACATTTTAAAAATACTTGTTTAAAAACTTTTACTTGTAGAGTAGCTCTATTCTTCTACCATGCTTGATAAATTCCTTTATGACAGATCAATAGAAACCGACATCTGTATGCAAGTGATATTTTAAACTAATCAGTACGCCATCTATTACTCTCGATTTGGAAACGACAAATTTATCGTAATCTTAAGCGAAATAGATGGCCTAGGTTTGTTCTAGAGTAATGTCACGCACACCACTGATAAGCTTTATACATCGATATAATATACTAAGGATGGAACATGCTGATATTTTTACATATAGCTAATAAACGACAAAACTGACGTCACATTATTAGCTACAATGTCCGACGTGAATTTGACAGGTGATTAACGTGAACATAGTTATCCCCGATATTTTAAATTGGATATTGGATAAATATAAATTTTCGGCATCCAAAATATATAATGCAGACGAGACAGGCATAAGAACCGTCCAAAACCCCAGAAAATACTTGCTAAAAATGGACAAAAGAGAGTCGGCTTTATTACAAGCGCAGAAAGATGACAAACAACAACCATTATGTGCTGCATAAGTGCCTCAGGAACATATATTCCACTTTTGTTTATTTATGCTCCCAAAGTCATCCTCATGAGCGTATCAAATTTGAGATAGCTGAAATATTTAAAAATCCATACGGTCGCGTAGCCACACCAGTCAAAGCCATTAAAGGTTTTGAGAATATAGGAATATTTCCATATAATCCTGAAAATTTTACCGATGAAGACTTTGCTCCAGGTGAATCATTCATACAAGAAAAAGATAAAAAGACACTAGACCAACAGAAAAAAGTGGATTAGATATGGAGAAGAATAATAAGAATGTTAAGGGGAATAAAGAAAGTTCGACAAATGACAAAAAGTTTGAAGTATCTTTTGTTGACATAATTCCACTGTCAATGGATTGATTATATGCAAAATTTGCCGATACCTAACATCCCTGTACAGGAAATTTTTTATTATCGGCAGTTATGGGTTTTTGAATTCAATATACACAACTTAAAAACAGGAGAAGCTAAATTTTTTTCCTATCACGAGGGCGAGGCACATAAAGGACCTAATGAAATGTGCACCTTCCTGAAAAATTATTTTGAAAATGAGGTTTCTGAAAATGTAAAAGAGGTCCATATATTTTCAGATAGTTGTGCAGACCAAAATAAGAATCACACGGTAATAAGATTCCTTCTAGCTTTTGCTTCGTCAGAAAAATTTAATCACAGTTTTCATTATTTTCACATCACAAGCAGGACCGAATTTTTCTTCCTGAAGAATATTACGAATTGATAAAAAAATCGTCAACAAAATATCTTTTTTCTATCGAGCTGGTAAAAAATGAAACAATTTTTTAATTCAAAAAATGATGGCCCATGCATTATAAGAAAATCGTACTCTCCATTGAATCCTATGGGAAAAAAACCAAACACGAGAAAACAACTTTTTAAATTTCTCAATATAATGAGTTCGAATATGACAACAAAAAACCGAGAATTGTTAAGGTACGTCCATTTATCGATGGGCTTATGTTTCATGAATTTTCCTTGGGAAAACCAGCTGGAGTTTGTCCTAGTTTGCCAACACAGTCTGCTTACACTGAAAAAATCCCTATTAATTTGAAAAAAATGGACAACATCAAGAAACTTGTACAATATGTGCCAGAAGACAAATGTTTTTTTTTTATAATGAGCTGATTTTATGGTCTACCACTAATAGTGATGAACCATTATAGGAAGATTACTAAAAGAATATTTCTTAACCTTCAACATGTTTTTTTTTGACACTTACTAAATTTTTTCCTTAATAATATTGGAGTTTTCTATTATTAATCATAAAATTATCAGTGTTTGTTTGAAAAAGGATACAACTCCAAAAACTAAATTATTTTTTACAGTTTACCTATGTCTTTTTTATGTTGGATTTGTTAATGAATCTTCGACATGCATCACATTCTCAGACTTTACTCCGAAAAGAGAAAGATATCTTCATTAATACCAAAATGAAACGTTTTTTTTCGTTTCCTGTAAAATTGACATTTCTGGAGTTGTGGCCTTTTCGAAATAAGTGATTTAATTTTTAAAACAATAAAATTAAGTCAATATATATTTGTTTGGATCATACCTGAATTGAGTTTACCGGAATCGTAGGCGGGACCTCGATGTAACACATCCTTTATGTAGATTCCTTCTCGCATATTTCCGCAAATGTTGAATCCCAAGCCAGTGAAGTCTTCACTTCGCAACGATATCACTTTTACCTCCTTTTCCTAAAAAAATATTATATTAGCAAACGTTGAAGAAATTATATTTTTTCTATTAAGAAGTTAATTAAAAGGTTCTTTATTTTATAGGTTGCCGTTTATAACAACTTTCTTGTGAATAATGAACAGTTTTTTAACTCGTTATCGTTTTATAATGATTGGAAAATGGTTAACTGTTTGTTGAAAATAGTTATTTTTTGAGCTAATCTCAAATTATCTAACGGAAACTATATTTTATGAGTATGCAGTAACTTTAGTTCCATGACTATGCAATATTAAATTATTGTGAATGGTATCTGACAGTATAAGGATCTTGCCATATTAATTTAATTACAGCGTCGATTTCTAGAAGCACAAGAGCAGTTTTTGGCAAACCTTCGCATAATTGGTCCTAGAGCAATTATGCAATTTTACCAAGAATATGTACTCCGTAAAAAAATGTTTCCAAAAAAAATGTAGATGAGATCATTTTGAACAAAAATTTTTACTATAAATATTTACTAAAAATGTAAAATTATAAATAAAATACCTGTGACCTGTTTTAAAATTTATAAACTTGTTATAGTCCTTTTCCATCATATTGATAGCACATTATGTATGCAAATCCTCAACAGGTCAAAAAACCATAGTAATCAATACTAATCTCACTATACCTTTTTTGTGCTTAAACGTCGGTATATATGCTACACGATTATTGTTAATTATACACATGTGATTAACGAGAGAATTATTTAATGTTTCACGAAATAAATTAATGTAAACAGTAATTTAAAGGTGATTATTGTTTTGTATACAAGTTATCGCCTGACACAAAAAGAATACCTTCTTTGAACGATTACCTGGAATTACTGATAAGGCTTCACTAATGATAGTTTAAGTAGTTTTATGTCACATTACAGCTTATGCCAATAATATAAATTAGAAATTGTTTATATCTTCCATTTAGTTTGTAGATGAACATTGTTCATGTCTTACCTACCTACGTTTTTGGTGTCAATATTTTGTTATTTGTATTTAAAAATGACGTCGACAACAGGTTTTATCCCGGTTAAGTATAGTTTTAAAGGTGCCTTCAGTCTAAGAGAGAAAAATATAATATTAAATGTACACGATGCACTTGTACATCAACGCCCTTTAAGTAATGTTCATGAAATCGTTAACATGTGTTCAAATATGACAGGGGTTGGAGAAATAACAATTTATAGATTCCTAAAAGAAAGAAAAGGAGGAACTGTTTCATCTCCCAAGAAGAGTGGAGGGAGTAAACCCTTGGAAATTGAAAAAATACATAAAAACATGATAAGACGCAGCGTCCACTCATTTTTTTTTAACAAAGAATTTCCAACATTGGACAAAATTCAAACATTAATTAGAGAAAACGAAGAGTTACCAACCATAAGCAACAATAAATTATGGGGACTATTGAGAGAGATTTAATTTCGTTGGCACAAGAATAGAAAGAAAAATTTTAATTGAAAAAGATTACATTGTATGTTGGAGACGAGATTATCTAAGAACTATTAAAAAGTACCGAGAAGAAGGGAAAACAATTTTTTATTTGGACGAGACTTGGCTAAATTAAGGTCATACTGTACCATATCCATGGGTTGATACAAATGTGAAAAGTTCCCGTCAGGCATTCATCGAAGGTGTATCTACTGGAATAAACAATATTCCCGTTGGAAAAGGACACAGACTCATAATAACCCATATTGGAAACGAATACAGTTTTGTCAATGGTGGATTATTAAGTTTTGCCTCAAAATCAACCAAAGATTATCACGAGGAAATGACTGCTGACGTTTTTGAAGAATATTTTGAGCAAATGTTGGATTTAATTCCAAAAAATTCTGTCATACTCATGGATAATGCTAGTTACCATTTAAGACTAGCAGAAAAATTGCCAACAACGGCATGGAAAAAAGGAGAGATAATCGAATGGTTGGATAAACACGCAATTGATTACAGGGAGAATTCGACAAAAAAGGAATTATTACCTATTGTAAGGCAACATAAAGCAGCTTATAAAAAATATATAATTGATAAAATGGCATTAAACTGTGATATAATTATTTTACGTTTATCCCATACCACTGTGATCTGAATCCGATGAAAATATATGGTCTCAAGTAAAGGGTGAAGTCCGACGCAACAACAAAACTTTTAAATTAGAAGACTTACAACAATTATTAGAACATTCCTTATCAAAAGTAACTCCAGAAAATTGGAAAAATGCTGTTAGTCATGCTCACAAGGAAGAAAATAAAATGTGGAATTTGGATAATATGACTGATGCAATGCTGGAACCGGTAATAATTAACATTGGAGTTGAAGATTCCTTAGATTCTGAAGAAAGCAGTGAATCTGAAATGGAATTTGGTTAAAATAATATTCATTTTTTTACAAATCGGCCCCTGTTATGGCCACAAATTATTTTATATATAACCAATAAAATAAACATCTTACATTTCTTGCAAATTCATTAGTACCTGTTAATCTCCATCACTCCGACACTGGCAACTTTATTTAGGGATTAGTAACCCTCAAAACAATTGTATTCTATTCTGCTTCAACCTTTATACCTGGTGGTCATACTCAATTTAAAACTGATATCCTAAATACTTCTGTTAACTTGTTGACAAATATCTATTTTTCATTGAGTCACCCGTATCAACAGTTTAGGGATTTGCATACATAATGTGCTATCAATATGATGGAAATGGACTATACCTAGACTAAAACTAATGTTTTTTCTTGAAATTACAAGAAAAGACCTTTTAAAGAAAAGATTTTTTAGAGTCCTATATGTGCTTCCTATAAGCGATACCAAGCGTACTTGAAAATACGGTAAAATTTCGAAGAATAAATTTTAAAAAATCGCTTAAAAAGCGATGGGTACCCTCCGTCCAGCTGATGGCATTCTTTTTTTCTTCACTTTCAAGCTATAAGGAACGAAAATAATTGGTCTGGAAAATAATTGAGTTAGTGTGCCTTCAAATTTTGAAAAAGCGTGTTTTTGGCATCAAAAAAAGGACGATTTTCTGTGGAATTATAGATATATGTAATAGATATGTTTCTGTTTTTTTTTGCTAATGTCCATGATCCTACACACTGGACTATTTTATCGATAATGACAGTTCTTTGTTTATATTCGGCTGTGCAACAAATTTTTTGATTTCATTTTACAAACAACTCCATATTCTTATTTTGTGCATGAATGTGAACGTTGACATACTTTCTTTTTCATAATTATTTAGTCAATATGTTTTAACAATCAGTTTGATTCTGAATGGACAGAATTTGAATGCGATCTGTAAGCGTTTTGTTACAGATCCAATGTCTAATGGCATATATGAAATGAACAAGATATTTGATCAAAGTCTACTTTCTTACACTCGGTGTAAGAACGTACTGAAGCTGTTAGGGGGGGATGGTGTAATATAAAACGGTTGACCGTATTGACGATTCGAGTTTGACTCTAAATGATTATCTTATGTTTTTAGAAAAAACATTGTTTTGACGACGTTTCGATAAGGTTACACTTGTCATTGTCAACTCTAATAAGTTCCGATTCTTCTAGATGTTTGAAGAGAACTGATATCTAGACCACTGTGTGCTTTGCTTAAGTACTTACCTATACTTCATCTAATTTAGATGACGACTTACGTCATTATCTACGTCAGAGATCGAAGTTGACATAGTTGCCAAAGTATAAAAAAATCCTGACTCCATTTTAAATCAAATATATTACATAATTTATTGCAAAAGTATTACCATCTCTTTACAACGACTATTTAAATTCTTACGTGACATTTTTTAAATAAAACACACTAATTTTGTTCTAAAAAGAACAGATTTTATTAAATAGTTAAAAATATAAAACAAGAGATATTCACTTTAAAATTCAAAATAATGAAGTACAAAAAGTGTCAACACCGCAACTGTCAAATAAGTGTTACCAATTTATGCCAAAATTTTACCTTCGTTCGATTACAGTTACAGTGTGTTCCGAACAAATGTTCTTGATAAAAACGCTTTATAATGCATTTATACAAATTTAATGAAACATATTATTGTGTATTTATTAAGTTAACATAAATAGAAATTTTTAAATATTATTTTTACGCGTATATAATAAAATATGTCTAGTGGCTGTAATGCCAGTGTACTCGGTAAAGTGATTCTAAAATAGAACACACCTACACCCTAAATATTTTGTGTTGGTATCATGTGACGTCACAGGCTATGACGCCGATGTCGTGCATCGGTATATAAATTAGATGAAGTGTATATACAGTAAAGAAACGGAAATAAATGACAGTAAGTGACGTCACATGGTAGCAACACAAAATATTTAAGTCGTAGGTCTATTATTTCTTTGAATATTTTAGCAAAGTACACTGGAATTACAGCCAATAGACATATTTTATTATATACGCGTAAGACGTCAATTATAAAGCGTTTTTATGAAGCACACTTGTCCGGATCCCACGTTAACTACGAATGAACAAAGGTGATAGCGTCTATATTCTTTGGTGATATTTTGGCATAAATTGGTAACACTTATTTCACAGTTGCGGTGTTGACAGATTAGTTTTTATTATTTACCATTAATTAAAATCTGTTCTTTTTAGAACAAAATTAGTGTGATTTAATTCCAAAATGTCACATAAGAAGTTAAATAGTCGTTGTAAAGAGATGATAGCTTCTTTGATTCATTATTTTGAAAAGGAAAGTGATAATAACAGTCTCATTCGACCGTTGGCTTCTGAATACTGAATAATAAATACAAGCGAAATTCGCAATAAAATTTACAGTATGTATGAACGAATTTAATTCTTCTCAGAACTCTTCCTCTTCATGGATTCAATTGAAAGAAAAAGAACTGTTTAGTGGTTGTCGTATGTAACTCAGTACAATACTGAGACAATAGAATTAGGCTGTTATTATCAAGTTCCTGTTCAAAATATTGAATCAAAGAAGCTACCATGGGGAAATATGTCAAA